CACACTTTACTAGTCCACCACTAGGTTTCCTATCTATTCTCTGTCCAAATGACACATCAAGTACCTTCATACTTGTCTCTCTAATTACTGTTGCTGTAGTAGTCCAGTCATTTGGAAGCTCTTTCTTACCACCCAGAGCCTTTAACAGCTCATCTCTGAATTTCTCATAAAGTTCTTCTTTCCTTAGCTTTCACCATTTGGTCTTCTTCACTGATTTTACTCTTTTTCACAACACCAGTCATTCTACACACAAACATCCAATGCTGTCTGTCCACGCTTTCCCCGGTCACAACCTTACAGTCCTCAATGTTCCTCAGGTTTCCTCTTCTACACAGAATGTAGTCTACATATGTACTCCTTCCCCCACTCGTATAGGTCACTCTGTTCCTCCCTCTTTTGGAAATAATTGTTGACTACAGCCATTTCCATTCTCTTGGCAAAATCCACCATCTGTCCTTCCTGGTTTCTTTCCTTGACACCAAACCTACCCATCACTTCCTCATCCCCTATGTTTCCTTCACCAATATGTCCATTCAGGTCTGCTCCGATCACCACTCTCTCCTCCTTGGGAATACTCTCTATCTCCTGATGCATGCTCAATAATCCAGGTAGAAAAATCTAAAAAAGTTAAATCTGGTCCTCTGGACATTCAAAAAAACAAAACAAAGCAAATCAACAAAAAAATGTAGAAACGTTTCGTCCCTCATCCAAGAGACTTCCTCAGTCTGAGGAGCTGTATTCAGCTCAGTCTCTTAAATAGCACCGTCTCAGAGTGGATCAACCAGTTTTGCTGCCGACAACCAAAACCAGCTGATCACATGCTCAAGAAGGACCATCAGCCTAACAATGGATCATTAGCACACTGATGGCTGTTTACTGTTCACAGAGGGCTGAGTGATACTAGCAATCACAGCATTGTAAGAGGGGGACAGTTGAACCCGTAGGCCTCCACCCCTGTTTAACGATGGACGATTTCTTTTCACACAGATGGCCTCCTTTACGCCTCTCTCAAATACTCAAATACTCTCTATCATTTCATCCAGATCCTTCCAAAATGTATCTTCCTCCTATACAGGTCCTTCTAAAAAAAATTAGCATATTGTGAAAAAGGTCATTATTTTCCATAATGTAATGGTAAAAATTAAACTTTCATATATTTCAGATTCATTGCACACCAACTGAAATATTTCAGGTCTTTAATTGTTTTAATATTGATGATTATGGCATACAGCTCATGAAAACCCAAAATGCCTGTCCCAAAAAATTAGCATATCATGAAAAAGTTCTCTAAACAAGCTATTAACCTAACCATCTGAATCAACAACGTACCTCTAAACACCTGCAAAAGATTCCTGAGGCTTTTAAAAACTCCCAGCCTTGTTCATTACTCAAAACCACAATCATGGGTAAGACTGCCGACCTGACTGCTGTCCAGAAAGCCATCATTGACACCCTCAAGCAAGAGGGTAAGACACAGAAAGAAATTGCTGAACGAATAGGCTGTTCCCAGAGTGCTGTATCAAGGCACCTCAGTGGGAAGTCTGTGGGAAGGGAAAAGTGTGGCAGAAAACACTGCACAATGAGAAGAGTTGACCGGACCCTGAGGAGGATTGTGGAGAAGGGCCGATTCCAGACCTTGGGGGGACCTGCGGAAGCAGTGGACTGAGTCTGGAGTAGAAACATCCAGAGCCACTGTGCACAGGCGTGTGCAGGAAATGGGCTACAGGTGCCGCATTCCCCAGGTCAAGCCACTTTTGAACCAGAAACAGTGGCAGAAGTTCCTGACCTGGGCTACAGAGAAGTAGCACTGGACTGTTGCTCAGTGGTCCAATGTACTTTTTTTGGATGAAAGCAAATTTTGCACGTCATTCGGAAATCAAGGTGCCAGAGTCTGGAGGAAGACTGGGGAGAAGGAAATGCCAAAATGCCAGAAGTCCAGTGTGAAGCACCCACAGTCAGTTATTGTCTGGGGTGCCATGTCAGCTGCAGGTGTTGGTCCACTGTGTTTTATCAAGGGCAGGGTCAATGCAGCTAGCTATCAGGAGATTTTGGAGCACTTCATGCTTCCATCTGCTGAAAAGCTTTATGGAGATGAAGATTTCATTTTTCAGCACGACCTGTCACCTGCTCACAGTGCCAAAACCACTTTACTGACCATGGTATTACTGTGCTCAATTGGCCTGCCAACTCTCCTGACCTGAACCCCATAGAGAACCTGTGGGATATTGTGAAGAGAAAGTTGAGAGACGCAAGACCCAACACTCTGGATGAGCTTAAGGCCGCTATCGAAGCACCCTGGGCCTCCATAACACCTCAGCAGTGCCACAGGCTGATTGCCTCCATGCCACGCCGCATTGAAGCAGTCATTCATGCAAAAGGATTCCCGACCAAGTATTGAGTGCATAACTGAACATGATTATTTGAAGGTTGGCGTTTTTTGTATTAAAAACACTTGTCTTTCATTGGTGGGATGAAATATGCTAATTTTTTGGGACAGGCATTTTGGGTTTTCATGAGCTGTATGCCATAATCATCAGTATTAAACAATTAAAGACCTGAAATATTTCAGTTGGTGTGCAATGAATCTGAAATATGTGAAAATTTCATTTTTATCATTACATTATGGAAAATAATGACCTTTATAACAATATGCTATTTTTTTTAGAAGGACCTGTATATATGAGACAGAGAGAGACTGGCCTCCCTGATCATTTATCATTTGAGGATACTTTGCTTTCTAATTTTTATATTGCTTAAAGGCATATTTTCCTCAAATGATTGTGGTGGCCAAAGATTATTCTATTGACAACAAGACAGGGGACAGCCTGGACAGGCCTCCAGTCCATCACTGGGACACAGACAAACAACCATCCACATCCCCAGACACCTTGAAAAATTTAGACACAAAGAAGAGCCCCAAAAAGGATTCAAACTGAGAACTCGAGTTTTTGATTTCTTGTCACTAATTGTCAATAATAATTGATCATATCTGCCATGGTAAATAATTTTAGATCATTATTGTGAGGAGTCCTTAACATTCATCGTCATATATTCACAAATATGTACATTTATTATTGTCAATATTATAATTAAAGGTGAGTCGTGCAAATTTACGTTTGTATCAAACATCCTTTGTCTCACTTGGTCCCTCTGGAGTAGCTCTCTGTCTCAAAAAGATTGGTGACCCCTGGGTTAGTATATATTTATATATTTATTACTTTCTTGAGAACATAATCAATAATTTAAAACATAACACTGATGCATCTATTGGTAAATGGTCTTTGTTGCCCTGAGGAGCAAGGACCTGCAGTTGTAGGTGTTTTTCTACATGAAGTTTGAGAACATCAGTGATGATCCAAACACTCAGTCAAATCAAAACCAAGAAGGATTGAGGGAAAATGTCATCATAATTAAGTAAACATTTATTATTTTCCTAATAAATAGTTAGAAAGCGTATCCGCTTAATATTACAACAAATTTTAGGTAGAAAAATATGGTTAAATCATAAAACATTTAATTTAGAAAGTATTAAAACTGAAACCAGGGACATTGGCTAGTCTGAAGTTTCTACCAGCTCTGATGTCAAGATGTAAGATGGCTGCTTCACACATAAAACGTAGTGATAGCTGCATTAATGAGCACTGATTGATAATTAGCACATGTCACTGGTGTTCCTCTTTAGAACACATCTGAAATTGGGCATCACTGTATTTACGTATTTTACTGGATCTGAGTTCTGACTTTCGAGGTCAATGAAAAGTAGCATTCCAGTTATTTGAGTGTAGGATGATGTGTTGAAGTGGTGCCATTACTGTTGAATATTAATGCTGTTAGTTTCTACAAAGAGATCAAAGCTGTGAAAATCAGCTCTGAAATACAAAGAGCAAACACAACACCCTTTGCTCTGTGAAGCCCCACATCAGATATTGTCTCAGTAATCCAGGCTGTGAGACCAGATTTCTTATAAAGTCATTGTCATTCTCTGTGTATTCCTGATATTGTTGAACAAATAAGATAAAACACATTCAAAATTAGTATTTTCATTTGTTGCTGCATGAAAGTAAACTTAATTTCCGCCACCTGTGTTTGTTTTTCTCACATTCAGAATTGCAATTTTACATATGACTCAGGACTTTCACTGAGTACTGTATTTTCCAGCTTATAAGTCACAGTTTTTTCATAGATTTGTCAGTCCTGCGACTTATATAAGTTTTTTTTTTTTTTTTACATATTCATCACACAATTTTTGACTGATGCTTTAAATGTTCATTTGTACTGACAAGAACCAGAGTAAACATTACCATCTGCAGCCGCTAGAGGTGTGAGAGGGCCCTCTTGGCTTTTGACAACTACTGGTAGGCATATGTGTTTTTCCTGTGTAGTGAACTTGACCTGATGTCAAAACTGTCATTTCATTGATTTGA